TGCATGATCAGCCAGCTGAGGACGTGGAACGTTTAAATTTAAAATTTGTTGAAAATCCTGTTCATAACTCATGGGAATCCACAGTTAGGATTCATGACGATATATTATCCATTAAGTAGTTCAATAACGCTTGGATTATGCGTGAACTCCAGAGCATTCTACTAATAAAGCAGCACGCCCCCAGCGTGTGTAATTGTGACTGCGGCGTGGATTGACTAATAAGACGATTCGCAACAGTGCGTGCATTTGTTACTATTATGTTTACACACGGTTACTATAGTAACCGTAGTATACATAGCGTTTTTGTTCATGATTGGGAAAAAATGAGCCTTCACTTAGCCTAGACTGTCGATGGAATTTGCAGAACGTTGCCTCCTAAATAACATAGAGACCGGTTGAGTGTGTACGACACTTAACTCATAGCATCAACTACTGTAGGATACTTTATTTTTGATCGGAATTAATTTTCGCTATTTTTGCTGAAGGAATGATTCAGTGAAAATAAAATCCAGCGAATATATCGTTGTTCATATATTTTACATTCAACTCGTCAAAAATCAGTGAAAAGGAATTCCACACAAAACAACCAGAAAGTCTATTCAATGAAAATTAATTCCAGCTAAAATAAAGTATTTTACCGTAAACGATGCCGAACGGGAGTTCACGAAGATTACACGTGTGATCTGTGCTATCCCTTATTCGCAAACGGCTGCCGAAATGTCGGCCTAAGCGAGAGCAATGTCACGTGACCCCCAGATACCATGATTATAGGTCGGGGAAACAGTTGACGCGATGATTGTAAAGCATTAGCAGTCTCGCGGCTCTCGTTATTTTTCTAACGAGATCTCGTCGGTTCTATTCCAAATTAAAATATAGCGTGATGTGTGGTATTGTCGAAAAGCAGCGTTAAAGCTGGGGAGTCGTCACCTGCGCATGCGTCAGGTGGCCATAGCGTGTCACTGTTTACAAACAAGCGTCTACCCATGAGCCTTTGCGTTTTTAGCGCGTGTTGTTATCGTCACTGGGGACTCAATTCGCGCGCGTGCGCAGGTGAAGACCCTCCCGCTTTAAATCACCAATAATGCAGCGAGGTTCTACTGAAAGTTATTATTCCATTACGAAATAACTAGAGCGTGTGATATAATTATGCAAGAATAGACTGAAATAAATGACGACGGCCGTTATAATGTTGATATAACGCCCGAGTGACCAGAAAGTGCAAACATCGCGATACTGCATCGCATAAAAAATGTGCAGACAGAAACACACGCCGGAGCTCTGCAGAATGTTGGTACGTCAACAGATTTTACTTACTACGTAGGCCTGTCAGCTCACTACAACTCGAAGGCTGGGGGTGGGGTACCACATCCACATTTGAATCATGCAATGATTTGTAAATAAACGTGTTGAAACGTGTTGCGTGCTTACTCTAGGAGCTTTTCCGTGAGTTGACGTGCAGCCTGTGACCAAAACACACTAGGGCAGTGGTCGTTCGTCGTGACGCGTTGCGTACGAAACGGGTGCCATGCCACGTACACAGCGCGTGTAAAACAAATTGCTTGTTTTCACGAAATTCGAATGCTCGAGCTCAGCGCACAATGACTGTGGCGCTATACAAATATCCACAAATAACGACTCAACAATTGGCTCCGCGGCATTGGCCATCCGTCGATAATACCTAACCAATCAGCGAAACCCCACATTCGAGGACAAATACAATTTCATCAATCATAGACGTCGCAAAAGTGCTTCAACGCGGATTTGCGATTGTTTGTTTTCGGTTTTCGTCACAGTAATGGCCATGTGGTGACCGATAACTGTTTATGAGAAGGATAATGTGGGCAATCATCGCAATGAGCTCGTAATCCTGGCACATCATTTAACGTATGACAATGTACATGCCGGTTGAATTGCCTACTTAAAGAATATAGTAAATGAGTATGGATTTGAGTGTTATAAGCATACGGTATCACGGTTACTAGAAGAACCGTGACGGTATACATCGCCGATACTTCATTCATGACAACTACATCCAGATCCAACACATGCAGTGGCGGATCTAGACCCCAAGAACCCCCCTCCCCCGTTGAAAATTTTATTCAATTCAGTTTTTGTATGATATAAAAAAAATCATTAACTTAGTCTGTCGATTTGAAAGTTTGAACCCCCCCCCCATGACATGATTACGAAAATGAACCATATTTATAAAAACAGAAAACACAGTCCAGTTAATCTTAAAGGGCGGCAGTCGTCGTGCCGCGTCCTGTTCGATATGGGACTCATAGCGACGTATACAACGCGTGTAAAATACATTGTTTATTTACATGAAATTCGAACACGCGCTGCGCGACGACCACCACCCTCTAAGTTTAGTAAGGCGACTGTTTTAAGTCGCATGTCGCATCTGACAACAGTTATTGTTTTTATTATAAGGACATGTATATTTCAAAGGCCAGGCATTAACATACCCGGAAATAATTAGTTTGAAAAATATGCACGAATACTGCTGGAGGGCGAGATTGGGTATTATTACAGCCACAGATATACATTACAGCCACAGATACCTATTACAGCCACAGATACAATCGCATACTGAGCAGAGAGATGGTCTCATCATAGTTTAGATTTCCTTATTACACGAGAGTACACGCCACATTTCAACGCGAAGATCTTTAACGAAACTATGATTCTTTCGATATCGCAACAGTAGATCCAGAAGCAGATTACGAACTTGTTCCAAATGGGAAGGAAGAAACACACACAATTCCCTCAGAGAGCACCGTTGCCACGTGACAGTAAATCGGGTAGTCTAAGACGAAGTAATATTAAAGCGGAGGAGTCGTCACCTGTGCATGCGTCAGATGGCCATAGCGTGTCATTGTTTACGAACAAGCGTCCACCCATGAGCCTTTGCGTTTTTAGCGTGCGTTGTTATCGTCGCTTGGGACTCAATTCCCGCGCGTGCGCAGGTGACGACCCTCCCACTTTAACATGATATCCGACACTACTTAGTAAGCATGATTTGTAATCAAATTCAAAATGTAGATTAATTAAAAATATTTAAACATAATTAAACCTCCCACCGAGAACAACAACAACCATGCAGTGTGCACAATCAAGTATTTTATAAAAAGTCTTTGTTTATTTTTGCCAGAAATATATACTTCCTATTGACTTTTTGTTGTTGATAAAATAAAACAGTGATGGGGTTTATTCTGAAATTCAATTTATAATTTCTTGTCAACTCTGTTTGTAGTTTTATACAAACAGTCGCGATGAATTACACTCACGTGCGTACGATAGCGAAATGCCTCTTTTTTGTGGAAACCCTTGTGGTATTGGACAACCCGTAGTTACCCACAAAACATTGCGGTCAAATGAGTAGGGAAAGGTGGCCATGTTTGTAAACATAACGAGAAGAAAACAACTGAGCACTCTCACTCTCACCCCGCTAACATAAAGATGCTAACATTTATATATATCTTTTCAACCTCGATCGAAACAAACAGATAAAATATGAAGTTTGTTATATATTGGAATTAAATATTGAACTCTGGACAACATCTCAAATTTATATCATGAAAAGCATATTTGAAGAAAAAAATAAAATAATGCTTGATAATAACATGACCAATAATGTGTAGTCAATTATTAAAAGCACATTTTGCGTTGTTACCTTGACAACCAATGAAATCGAGACCTGAATAATTTCTTCGATTCCCCAGCCAATAAGATGAGACCATCACAATTCCAAATCATAGTGAGTTATGGGATAAGTTATCGAATCGAAGACAACTCCGCCAATCACAAAGCGCGTCAGCTCATGCAACCTGACATAACCACCCCATATAATGCACTATAATTTCGAATTGCATTATGGTCCATGCAATCCAAGAACTGTCACATACGACGCGGATGTACTTTCCGATGACCGAACAATATCGTTCATAGTCTGAAATCGAACATTAAAGTGAACACACACCGCCTCGACTGAGTAATTTGTGAAATTAGACTGATCAGTAAAGGATCCGAGCCGAAACATTGCGTTTTCATTTTACCTATCGTAGTACATTGGTGTTGACGATACCACTGTCTGGCCACGTTTTTTTTCTCACTCTGATCACAGTAACATGAACTATTCGTTTTATTTATCAAGTGGGTTTGAATGGTGAATGTAATGTCTTCAAGTAATACCATTATACATGTAGAGCTAAAACATGTATCAAATTGCATTTATACAATTAAAATAGTAAATGCAGTCAGCACGTCACAAATCGAGGATACTAATATACACGATACAACACATTTCATCGGTTAATACTAAGAAGATGGGGTTATACTGCAAAAGCCGCCAGATCATAGTGATCCTATTAACCAAAGAATCCGTTTTTAAAATACAAATCAGACACACTAAGCCCCGTTATTGACTACGTCAACATTGAGTCGAACATTGCGTGTGTAGCCTTACAAGTCAATATACTAGTACTACTACTAATAAAAAAATATATTCTGTAGAATTATTCTTCATTGCCTAAAAAATGAATACGATGATAAATCATCACGAATATTATAATATCGAACACAATAAAATATCAAAGGTTCACTGATTAATTTTGTGTGTTTGTAATTTCAATATATCGACCGTCATCCGTACAGGGCGTGAAGAAGCAATTTATTCACGTGTACCAGCAGAAATCTAAATTTCCCATTAACTCATATGTTCGATTTGCGATGTCCGTTAACACAGATGTATTTCTTTAAAGCTAAAAAACAGAATGACATTTTAACCAACCTGACACTGCCGCTGCTGCTATAATTGTAATACAATAAAAAGTACGTTCGCTCGGAATCGAAAGTAAGACGCAATCAGTCGATTATTCCCTCAGTATTCCGCGAGCCGTTTGTGCATGAATATATTGGTGTTGTTGTAGCCTAGTTCCACATTGAAGGAATACACGAAGTGACGACAAGTGAATTTTGATAAATTCATGATTCCTTACCTTTGGAAAATACAGCGGTGTCACCGTGCAGACATTTCTCCACATATCAATCGACCGTTGCTTGCGACGAGCACATGCCCACATTAGCTCCACTTTGTCTACGGGTTCTCGACTGCCAGTACGGGACTGAAACAGAAAAGGTGGAGGCGTGGGTGTCCAGTCTTCACAGTCTTGATATTAAACAGCGCCACGAATTGCCCAGAGCCGAAACGGGATCGCTCGACGCAGTATTTCGAGAAATTAAGCTGAACGAATGGGCACGCGTGATTGGCTATTTTGATGGGTGAATTAACATCGAAATTGCTTAGAGATTTCCGGCTGATCTTGGGGATCTTTAAATACAATTGACAACGTCATCGCAGTAGGGGCGACGTAATTTACTTCTAATCACAAGATTGTATATATATAAAGAAATTCTGTATTAGCTATGTCTGGCTGTGCCGATCCCATCTAATCGTTATATATTCCTTCACGACAATAAATTTCTGTTAATGTTGCTGCTGATGTTGAAATGTTGTTGTGATCGTTGCTGTTGCTGCTTTTGCTGTTGCTGGAATTCCTTCTAACTATAGACAGACTTTGAATGGTAACTACCCTCAATTTTACTGTGCTAGCGTGATAATAGTTAGTAAATATACCCACACTGTGGTTACATTAAATCCAGCTAGAATCTGTTGAATACTTGGCTCAATATTATTAATTGATTAATTAATTCATAATTATAACGATAGTTAGAACAAATAATTCATTTCATGTGTGTATGGATGAATCTCATCTCATCTCATCTCACCTCTTCTCATCTCATCTCATCTCATCTCATCTCAGCCAATGGAGATTCTGAATAGTTCCATTTAAGAACAAATCTAGTGACAAAAACACGCTCATAACAAACAAAATCATATCTCAGCGTTCATCTGTTCCCTGAAATTACATGAACTTGACGTTTTTATGCACTGTGCAGGTTGAATTCACCTGCCATTGAAATGTATAAATATTCATAAAGATGAAAGGAATGCCTTTGCTGCGCTGAGAGCAAAACGCGCCAAAACAGACAAGTGTGAATAGGTTTAATATATTCTGCGTGCCTGACTTCATATGTTCACCCACTCAGTATAGTAGTACATGTGAACCTGTTGCAGCAGTGACTCAGACGACTGTCAGGAGTTATGAATTTTATAATGAATCGTTCAACTGCTGGAAATGATGACACAATATGAAATTAAGTCGATTGTTGCAAAATATATTATTCGTCAAAGGGGGTAATCATCCAGCCGCTAGATGACTAGTTATCTTACTCGTCTGGGTATGTTAACGGGGTATCAGTTATGGATCCCCCTAGCAACGTGATAACTATACATATACCGTCAATATTGACATAGATCAATCTATATATATATATATATTCTGTTTTCAATATATGGTGAATGTTTTGTGTTTGTTGAAACAGAAAAACTACCGAATCTCAAGAGACACGCATGCAAAATAACGGAAATAGAAATGTTGATAGCATGCCCTTCACGGTAAAGGGCACAATTTCAATATATTATACATAATATATATATATATATATATATATATATATATATATATATATATATATATATATATATATATATAGTCTAAGACTGATCACAAATTCAACTAATTTTAATTTTAATCGTTCTAATTTGAGGAAAAAAATAAAATGGCATTTTCATAATATTGCACGAGAATATAGTGCACAATTTTAAAAAAAAAATCTCAATGTTCAACTTGATCTCGTAACTTTTGATAAATTTTAACTCGATAATTTAACTTCAAGCTGTTGAGCACTGACTGCAATATATTGCCATATCACACTGTGGGCTACATGATTATAACTTATCGCCTCATGTCGCAGTGTCGGGCGTTATTTCCGAGCTCAAATGTGAACCAGTACAGGCAAATATTTGACAAAGAGCGCGTTCAAATTTTATGTGAATGTGATTTACACGCGTTGTATACGTAGCATCATGGAACCTATGTCGAACACTCTCCGCGCCTGGCACTGACTATACCATTTGATGCGAGGTTTGATTTGATGCCTGATTCAACACGTTGCCATGATAACTGATTACGTTGATGTATAAAGAGATAATAACGTTACAATAATTTGGCGGCAACTTTCCTTGTTCAAATTACGATTAATGACTCCAGGTTGTTGCGGTGCGTGTATTAACACCAACATTATATTATTTTAACAAAACGAAGAGTGATCTATGAAAGTATTGTGCAATTTGGATGCAAGTGAACACCGTCACAGAGAAGCCCACATAGACACCTTGTTACTCAATCTGATTAAAATCCGGAGTAGGTATTCGGCTCAATTTTTTTAATTTTTTTATTTTAGTTTAAATATGTCGATTTTGGAGCCTCATACCTACATCGAATTTTAATCAGATTGCTTGTTACTTTGAAATTCGACGATGCAATATCAGCAGGTATCAATCACTTTGTGTTGTCTCAATGTGTGATATATCGAACGCCGGATTTTGTCAATATTCATGCGATTTATATCGCGGTTATTATCGACGATATATATTGTTGTCATCATTATTGATATAGTTACGCATATCGTTGACAATATGTATATCGTTGTCACAACTTTTAAAATTGTAGAATCAAACACTAAAAACCACGACGATATCTTCATTGCCACACCGCCCAACAGAACTCGGCTATCTGTTTGGCTAATGACACTTTTGCGCAGAATCGACACGTTGTCGCTAAGCGACCGATACAATAAATTAAAGACAAATACCACGATAATTCGAATAATGTTAAACCTACATCGTTCGAATCATTTGTCGTGAGCCCTTTCTAAAACAACAACTGAATTCCCGCGGGACACGAAATTTGGAATAGATTATTGAGTCTGCAACAGACGACAATTGGACGGACGTTGTCGTCTCTTGGAAAACCACAATTCATGTTGGTCGGGATGGACAGAGTCACTGAGGTCAACATCCTATGTAACTTGGTTCATCATTTTTCTCACGATGGTTCTAATAATGTAAAGGTGCGCGGTGATGATGAACTTCTCAATAAGGCCACTTTATAAAGGTGTGATCGTTACATAACACAAGGTCTGAGGTTTCTGTCATTCGCACGGCATCGTAAAAAGCGTAAAAACGTTGTTTTGATTAAAACGGGAGGGTCGTCACCTGCGCACGCGCGGAAATTGAGTCCCAAGCGACGATAACAACGCACGCTAAAACGCAAAGGCTCATGGGTAGACGCTTGTTTGTAAACAACGACACGCTATGACCATCTGACGCATGCGCAGGTGACGACTCCCCCGCTTTAAATATTGCAGAGTTATAAGTGGTCACGGAATCCATTCACTGTCTGTACGCGATGTATGTGTTGTGTCAGATACACTACATGAGCACTGCATGACGGATGTATGACGTCACAGAAATGTTACTCATAGGCAGAATGACCGACATGCATCAGTGTCGATTCCGATGCTCTTGAACAATATTAATATTGATGCAATATTGATGCAATATTAAGGGACGTTCGACGTGGATCCCAAATACATTGTTTGTTTACGTGAAATTCGAACGCGAGCTGCATAAACTTTGAACGCCACAATGTTTTCCCGCCAACATTCCAGTGCAACATCTTACACATTTTTTCTATAATTTCTCTGTTAATTCTGGATTAATTAGGCATACTTTCCTTTTGGCTACATATCTTGATCAAAATTAATGAAAATTATTATGTTTTAATTGAATTTGACCTTGTCGTTGAACAAGTGAATAATGTGATTACATTGCGTAAACAAAATTACGATCAACGAGCCTGTCTCAATGAAAACCGCTTTTGTATTTAATGCCAATTTAATAGACCATTTTCCGTTCACTGCGAGAATCACGCGTTATGCGTGAAATCGAACGTAAAAACAGGACAAACAAAGGTCATAGCGTCGTAGTGGCGTCAAACATCGCGTGGGATTCGACAAACGCGAAAGTATTTCGGGGACATTTCCATGCTTAATAATGTGCTGTCCACATTTGATGACAGGCAATTTCGATTAAGTAAGGGTATTCGAAAGCAATATTCCTCTGTCGAAGATCGGCCGGTCAATGTAAGTTACGAAATATAGAAATTCTAGTTCAAAATCAAATCGTTCGATTTTTGCGGCAGACGTTCGACGCGCGTCTTTCATGCATCTCGCGAGATCTCGCAATTGTACGGAAAATCACCTATTCTTTTACTGCTAAAATGGCGGTAATTTTGACGTAATCAGAGAGAATATCACGCACATCCGAAACTCGCAATAATCCATTACTGTCACGTCTATAGCACAGCAAACTACATATGACATATTTTAACGTGATGTCATCGCAGTAATTCATTGCGATTGAGAAATTTATTTTTCATTGAATTCAATAAGTAAATAAAACAAAAAATCCACATTTTATAGGAGAATCCTTATACATTTTTGTATTGATACTGATTTATAATTACTTGCACATATAAATAACATACTAAATATAGGATATACTTTCTAAACACACACACATAACCTAAATGTCCAAAATATGGCGCGTCAATGAAGTGGGTCACATTTCTAAAAATAATAATAAATAATAGTCACACACTGTGACAAGTCCTAATCAGAGTAGTAGTAGTAACTTCTGATCTGTTTTGTCAACCATGAAATAACGTCACGAGCTTCATTCTGATTACTGTATATGTACTGTATGTGTATTGACCCGTACTAGATTTGTACAGCGTTTTGATGTTCCGTTCAATAATTCATGTTGTTGTGATATTTACATATGGTGTCCATGTACTAAATTACGTCATTTAATTTAAGTCACGCAACCAAAAGTTTACACGTCTGATGACAACAAAAATCACTTTTAGTTTCAAGTCGAAGAGGTAATCGCACTGTTAAAAGACAAGATGAACGGCACATCGTTTGAAGGACATTAAAAAAAAGACAATCATGATTCGGGGATGGGAAATACGAACGCATCAACAAGTTTTCAAAATTGCATTATATAACGCAGGCACAGTTAATTAAAAAGAAAATCGTAGTTCCAATTTGTTGCCACGGTAACCCTGCTACCTGTTTCAGCGGAGGGTAATTACTACAAGAACGACATGCTGCATCGCCCAGT